TTTTAGAAGTTGCAAAGTGTGTTTGAGATTTTCTAAGCACTGCCATCTTTATTTTTCACCTGCACCTTAAGAAACAACCTGAGGCACAGTACACACTGTGTTCCTGTGTGGTTTTTACCCAGCAATAAGATATTTTGAAAATTAGTAAACAATCATTTAAATTGAAATCTAAACCGAGACGCTCAAAATATGCTTCCTCTAAAGAGAGAAATGGACGAGGCTTACATTTTGAACATTAGCTCATGAAGCTGTCCCCAGGCTCAGAGTTTTAATGAGATCATACTTCAACAACATCACAGCTTATCTGCTTTGAAATAAATGTACTTACAAGGCAACCTAGCTTGCATATCTGGACTAAGCAGGACCCTCTGGGGCATGACATTGCTGGGGTTTGGACTCGGCTGAGCTGGGATAGTGGCTGTGCAGGGAGCAGTGGGAGGCCGTACAGTCAGCATCGGTTTTGGAGCATTGGACCTCACTGCAGTTTGAGCGGTAGGATGAAGAGATGGGCGAGGAGGAGTGGATGCGACTGAACAGACCACTGAAATTTAACAAAAATGCCTTAGAGAAACGTGCAAAATTTATGTTCCACCTTTTTAAGGGTGTTTCATTCCTTGCTTACCCTGCTGAACTACAGGAGCGGGTGCAGGAGCTGAGGTGACTTCAGTGACTGGAGGTGGTTTGGGGGTCTGTGCTGCAGGGGGGACGGAGCAGGTAGGTTTGTTCATCAGGAGAACTGGGCGATTATCACCTTTAGGAGGCGGCTGAAACATTCTGAAAGAGGACACACAAAAAGTATTGGAACTACTGCACTTAGGACAATAATTATATCATGTAATAAATGTCACAGGTATGGTAACACAGGTAATGTAGAAAACCAAAATACATGTAAATTTGCAAGTATCCAAATCTGCATTTTTCTTTCCTTTCTTTTTTTCCCCTTTACCTGTTGACTTTCATGCGGACTGGTTTGGGCCTTGGAGGAGGTTCGGGGGACTCCATGATCTCCTGGATTAGTTGGCGACTGACCCTGTAGCGTGGCAGGAAGACATCTGCCTGGTAACGGGATACGCGGCTCTCCAAACCAACAAGGTCAAACATGGAAACGTCGCAGCGCTGAGAATGCAAAAGCAAGTTAGAATCGATTAAAAATCACGGCATCAGGCTCAACTTTCTGAACAAATGAAAGCTTTTTATTTTCAGGCTTACCTTCAAAGGAGATACCTCCAGGGCGTCATGCACCAGAGAGGCTGTGTGGAAAATAATGGGTTGCATGATGAAGGGAGACTGGATGGGTCGAGGGTCAAAAAGGTTGGGATGATTGCACACTTTGCGAAGCTGCATGAGGATGTTAATCACAGACATGAAGTGACCACTGGCCAGCGTTTCCCTGGTCCTGTAAATCAGATGGTTTAGGGTCAAATTCAATTACATTTTTTTTCCCCAGTTTCAATTACATACTTCTCACCTTCTTTTGGTGACTACGTTTCAAAACACAAACTAAATTTACATTAACTTTGAATTCCTCCTGCTGAGTCAGTAACTTACGACGCCTGCGCCATGAAGTCATCGTAGAGGAATCGCTGTCTCTTGGACAGGCGGCAGCGCACCACATGCTCGTATTTCTTGGGCATCTGCTTCTCCACGTCAGCCTTGATCCTCCTGAGCAGGAACGGCCTCAGCACCTTGTGAAGCCTCTTAACCAGGCCTTCGTTGTACTCCTGACTGCCCTCGATCATTCCCGTCAG